TTTCAATTAAATGTATTAATGCCCTGTTCACACGGAGAGTTTAATTCGAATTAAATGTTAAGTTACTGCGATTTAGCTTCGCTTAGCGAGAATTTAATGCGAATTAGTTTAATTCGAATTAATTTAGCGCATTAAATTGTGCATTAGCTCCGTGTGAACACAAGGGGTTGAATTAAATTTTGACGCATGCGTAATGGCGGATTTCTGAGTGAAAAACTAAGGAAAAAAAAATTATGTATGGATCTGCTTCTGCATAATGTGACGTGATTTGCAAATGATTAAGCCATGCTGACGCCGGGTTGCAAAGTAAAATTTTTATGCATTAGCTGTCGTGTGAACGCAATTTCATTGCATTACTTTGAGCATTAGTTTATTGAATTAATTTACTGCGAATTAAACTCTCCGTGTGAACAGGGCATAAATTTCTGAAGGAACTTTTGAAGTTTGACAAAAGCATGATCATTAACTGTTGCTCTATTTCAAAAAAAAATATTTTACGATCAAAATGTTTGATATTTATTCGTAAAACATAAACATTTGAACACACCCTCACACACACACACACAAATAAAATGTGCCCCATATTGTGCATCTCAATGTACAGTTTGGAGCTCTGAGGGCTACTCATTACTTTATTTAACAGCTATCACTAATTATTGTTACTACGAGCTGGGCAAAAAAATGGAAAAAACTTTGAGATAATTTTTCTTGTTTTTTTTCTGTGAAAAAATTGGAAATTCTGGTTTGGTCAGCCAAACAATTAAAACAATTCAATTTCCAATGAAAAGTCAGAAAATTAGCATTAGAAATTTTAGGAGAGAAATGCGAAAGTAAATTTTAATGACAATGCGCAAACATTTATGCATAATAAAGGTAAAGTTGTACTTTAAATCTACTAGGAAAATCCAATGATTAAAAAAAACATAAAGTGTAATGCAATAAAAGTCAATGCTTGTATTTTGATTTGATGATAGAAGGTCATAAAATTAAATTATCGGTTAAATGGTATTCCGATAAACTGGACCTCTAGTAAAAGGTTGTATATTCATAAGTTGAACAAAATGATTTCTGCAAGAAACTTGTCAGTTTGATATTGTTAGTTTGATATTCTCCAAGTAATACATTACGGATTTTCCACCAAAAATGTATTACTGATCGGTATTGCATTAGTTAAAATAGCAAACAACGAATTTTTTTTCTAAATTTTGATTTTTAGAATTATTTACTTATGATATTTAAATTCTTGGTTATTTAGTCTGTCCAGTATGACAGCTTCAATAACTCAGGTGTTCCTAAATTAACATCATGGTAATAGAGAGCAAAATGAAAATAATACTAAATAAACACCACTACAAATAGTATAACATAATACACTAGATGACTATGAATATTACAAGAAACATGAATAGTACATGAGAGGACGTTAAACAACATACAAACAGACAAATCAAAAGAACCTAATGCGAATGTGGCGATGTATCTATTTTGTGCATGGATGCATTTTAATAATACGATAAAGTCCTTTCTTTTCTCAAAATATATATGACTAAGGCTGATTGATTGATTATATATTGTTTAACGTCCATCTCAAGAATTTTTCACGTATATGGAGACGCCACCACTTGCCGATGAGGAGCTGCATTTTGTCCTTTACTCAGTACATTATGCATTAAGCTCTTTCGAGCCACCACCTACTGCAACAAAGGGTCTCGGTTTTTAGGTCCTACAGTGAGATTCGATCTTCAATACAGTTCGTTATGATTGATCATTGCAATATTATTTTGTTAAAACACATTCTGATTGCATACACAAGTACTCTGAAGTTGACGTCAAAAAGATGCTTGAGTCAATCAGAAAGATTGACAATACCTACATGTATGTGGTTTTTGGAGGCCTGGTCTTCAAACAATCTGTTGGAATTCCCATGGGTACTAATTGCGCTCCATTATTAGCAGACCTATTTTTGTATTCATATGAAGCAGAATTTGTGCAAAAGTTTATGCGTGAAAAGAAGAAAACACTTGCTTTGGCCTTAAAGTCGCCATTTATATATATCGACGACGCATTGTCAATTAACAATGGTAATTTCCATTCCTTTGTCGATAGGACATAAGCTGATGAGCTTGACATAAAAGATACTACAGTGTCTGACACATCTGTTTTCATAATATTTTACTTGAAAAGGACATTAATGGTAATCTATCAACCAAGCTCAATGATCAACATGATTACTTCAACTTTTCTATCGTCAACTTCCCGTACTTAAGCAGCAATATACCTTCATCATCTGCATATATCTCATTTGATTCGATAAGCACGAGCATGCTCTATCTATAAACAATTTCTAAAACGAGGTAATATATTGAAAAACAAGTTGATGAAACAAGAATATCAGCAGTCTCGTTTAAAGTCATCATTTCGTAAGTTCTGTGGTCGATACAATGACCTTCAGGCTTGTCAGCAAATGCAATTTATCATTGAGTCAAATGCTGACTGACGTTTTCATTTTTAGTCCATTATTTATGCACTGAATTGACGACGGATTTTTCCGGTCAGGACAAGGAGCACACGACGGTTGTGACCGGTCGGCAGAGGATGCTCACTCCTCATGGGACCTGATCCCACCTCTGATGTTTTGCAGGTCCGTGTTTGCTCTGCTCTTATTTTATAATGTTTTATGGACTTTGATATTGAATACCATTCGTTATCTCCATATGCTTCAACTCCATACTTTTTATTAAAATTCTTAATGATAACGATAATGATAAAGGTCAACTGACGACTGAGTTATGTAGAGATGACTTCAGCAATATTCCATCGTGAACATTCCTTATTTGTTTAGTAATATTTCGCTATTATCTGTTTATGGTGTTCATGTCTCCAAAATTATTACCGGATGGAGAACTTGCTCTTAGTACGATCAATTATAAAGGGGGACAAGCTACTCACTAAAAAGTTGATGTTACAAGGATTTCAACAATCTCGTTTAAGGACGATATTTTGTAAATTCTACAGTCGCTAAATTTACCTTATACACATGTAATCTATCATGAGGTAATATTTTGGCTGATGTATTTCATACCAATTGTTAGTCCTTTGTTTTTATACTGGATTTGACTACGGAAAGTTACGTCTACCTGATCAACACATAGGGTTCACAGCGGATATGACCAGTCGACAAGGAATGAATAGTCATCCAAGTCACCTTATCCCAACTCTGGAATTTCCAATCGTCTGTAATTTATGCCCTATTTACATAGTTGCATTGTTTGCGGATGTTTTTTTTTCCAGATCGAAACTGTTCGTTTTCTTTACCTTTCATAGTTTAATAAGTTACATGCTGTTTTTCCGCCACAATTAACTCAAGGAAATATCATAATTAGATTATACACATCTTCAAAGATGAAGACTCATGTATACAATCATGATTGTCAGCTTGCCACCGGGAATTTTTTCCACCTTATAACAAAAACACATAGTACAGGTGACAGCAAAATTAATGATAGGTGAGTATGTTGTAAATTTGGAGCAGTCAAACCTTTACATCGAGAAGACTTGACAATTTTAACATATTTTCGCTAAATAGATCTTAAAAATCGATCACTAGATTCAATTTCTTATGAACTCATTTTATTTTGTTCTTCACCTTTTGCATTAGCCACATCTAGAGACCGCAATTTGTTCTTAGAATCAATTTCAATCAAATATTACAAGGAATTGTTAATTAATAGTAATTCATCTTGAAGGACAAGTAATGAGTGTAAAAAAAAAAACAATGACATAACTTAATTTATTTTTATTGTATATCAGAAAATTTTTTAGAATTATATGCAATTCTTTTAGTGCATAAAAATAAAATAGCAGCCCTCCACCTGCAAATGGTATAGCGTCTCAATTCTAGTATATGTGTAATTTCTCGAAAGGGACGTTAGACAAATGAACAAGCAATCAATCAATCAATCAAACGATTTTGTTGATATCCATGTATCATCATTAAATGCACGAATAGAATGTCTACTTTAAGACCTGTCTGTACCAATAATATGTACCTAGGTGTAAAATCAGCAAAATCAAAATACGACATAAACTCTGTTTGCAGGTGACAATGGTATATTGCTAACAAAAAATAAGGGAAGTTGACAAGAGGAAATTGACGACATCACGTTTAGTATAAATTTTAGTTTGGTGAATGCCATCAATATATTTCTTTACTACAACATCCAAAACTGAAATAAATTTGATCTGTGATGTCTTTTATGTCTAATGCGGCATATTTTGAATAAACGTTTCAATTAAACATCATTCTGGGTAGTATTGTTCATTGGTAAAACGTCCTTGATATAATTTAATGATAAATTTATGGCCGTGCCAAGACACATTTTCAATTTAAAAAAAAAAATCTTTCATGAATTTTAAACCAGTCTGCTAATAACGGGGTACAATTAGCTCCCAATGGAGTTTCAAATTACTGGAAGACCTAGTTTTTAAATCTGTGTTGATATTTTAATATATATATATATATATATATATATATATATATATATATATATATATATATATATATATATATATATATATCTTTAATTTAACCTCAGTGTACATGTATTTGTTTATAGAATTAGAGTATTTAAAACAAAATTTCCTTTTACAAAGTATGTTTCTTCAAGACTTCCATGTTTAATTTAAAAAAAATGGTTTATGATGTAAAAAAAATCGTCTATGCTATAAAAAAAATCTTATTTTTTTTCTTTCGTCCAGAAAAGTTTGAAAGATTTCTATAAAAAGTCGAAGTTATTGATCTTGGTAAAATATTGTGATTTAAAACTTTCTTTAAAAGATTACTTGGCCTTTTTAAATAGCTAAGTATCTAGAATTCAGCTCTATCCAAACGATTCTTTGATTTAAATAAATAACCATATTAGCCTCAAGATTGATATATTTATAATGCATTTACAATGTTCATTTTAATTTCAACTATGTGACGAAAGACAAGAAGAAAGTTCATTTTAAATATTTTATTTTATATTCAATAAAACAATGTAAAAAGAATATATGCAATTTATCAGCACTAAATGAACTAACATAATTTTATCAATGCAACTAATACAATATTGATATTATATAATAACATTAATGTAACCTATGAATGTACACAACAGTGCTCGAAATTATCTACTTAAAGTACGCAGAAATTGTTTTATAATATCCACTGAGAGAAAAATAAGTGTATAGAGAAACATAACATTTCCATTGCAATCTATACGCTATTAAAGGAATCAATCAAATCGATATAATAGGACGTTGACATTTACTTGTATGTATGTATCTAAGACTCAAAATCAATCTTTATATTGTTTATTTTGTATTTAAAAATTAAAATCTGTAATAGGTGATCAATTTTAGGAACCAACAATTTATGCCGTTATTTTTCGTAATAAATGCGAGACTGTCTTTAAACAATGCGTTTGATAGAACTTTGATTGAATCTGAATTAATATATAAATGTTTGTTAATAATTGATGACTTTGTGAACAACTTTCACAGTCATGAGCAATCTATCTTAATCAAACAAATAATCAAATAAATTAAAGATTTTGTAGAAACGAACTAAAATGCTAAATTGACACAGGCTGGGGTGCCATCAAGCACGTATTTTTGGTAAATTGAATAGAGTGAAAAATGATGGATTACTATAAATAATTGACTCCAGGTGTGATGCTTCTTAAACCTTACCTTGCTATATTGACAATTATTTGTGTCTCCTGATTTAAAAATTTCGATGAAAGTGAAGAAAAAAGCATGTAAGCATAGCTCTGAAATTTAATACAGAGAAACTTCAACTAAGTACGCTTTAATGACCATATGGCGCATTAACTTCAGCTTTGGCACAATAGAAATCACACGTAAATGCATTTAAAAGTTATATACAAGATAATTATTATTATGTTAATATCAAAAAATGAGACAGATTCATAAATTGACAAGTAAACTACCATACAAATGTCATACATAGCACGCACAGCTACACTTTATCACTAACACAATTTATGAGCATTCTCAATCGCACCAAATATACTCAATCAGATATGATTGCTATTGCTATAAAGCATTGAAGGTTCTTTGTAAAGCATTTTGCTGCATGTCAACGTCTATATAGATTTCTTTCAACCTGTCCAGTCTTTCTGTTTCTTCAATGGCTGGACAGGTTGTCATTTGAATGTTCCTATCATTTCTGCAGTATTGTAGAGGGGACCTATGAAGTCGAGGGCTTTCGTTTGAACCCTCCGACTCATGCTCATTGATTGAATTCAACGAGACAGTATTGCGAGCAGGCAGGGAGCCTCTCCGAACAGGTGAAGGCTCAGGCGAAAGAGAGAGTTTTCCTGGAGTTGTGTTGCACCTTTTCATTTGGTCATGATGTCCAGGAGAACTACTTTCTCGAGTTTGTAGCATTTCATTATGATCAAACCCGAGGTTGACCATGCCATATGGATCAGAAGACATCTTTTGTAAATCATACTGAAAATGAACAATAAAATTTATCAATATTTTTGAAATATTATATCAACAACCCTTACTCAGCTTTATTTAAATAAAAAATTGCATTTTGGACAGATTTTCTTTGACTTTACATACCTTCTGCTGTGGTACATTAGCAATGGATTTCCTATGTTCACTTGTGTATACATCTTCTTTGACGAAGGGTTTCTCTATCAAAATATATTTGGCTGCTACTTTTGGAACTTTATAGTCGAGACCAACTATCACAAACCCAACTATTGTGGTAATGATACCTAAAATGAATTTAATACTTATTATATATACTTGGTAATATAAGTCTTGCATAATAAAAAAAGGGGTAGCTAGGCAGCAAAATGTGTTACCACATTAGACTTTACACTGGTAATTTAAATACAAACCTATAGCTAAAACTGCCCAAAAGCATGGGCCATAGCAAGTCACAAGGTCCACGTCACTTCCCATTATTTTAAAGGCAAGGCGAGGTTGCAGCACGTGGAAGGTAACACAAGCCATAATCATTGTGATCCCAGTTAAGGTAAGTAAAAAGGCGCCATAGAAAACCACAGTCACCATCATTATGTTTGTCAGAATCCAAAACGAAAACGAGGTCCTACAAATCAACAATAGAATTGATAACGTCATTGTCTCTAAACAAGAAATTCCAGTTTTGCCATGATCAGGTGATGGATAAAAATTACGTACCATAGCAGAATATGGGACAGATATCCAGCCCCAGTGTAGCTCCTACCCCATCTCATACCACCAACGTCTGTACTCAGGTATTCTACAAGATGTAGAACGGGGATAGGCAGTCCCCTTCCCAAACAATGTCGCAATTCTTGGATAGGGCCCCTGACTAAAGAATGCAAAAAAGTTGATTATAGCATTACATTCTGAGATAAATTTGTGTAAATATCCATTTTATTGGATTGAAAGTAATTAAAGTTCATTAAGCTTACCATTTTCCAATTCCACCGCTTCATTGTAGTTAATCTCCCCTTTTGATTGATTGAAATTACCTGTATATAGAATAATTGTATATTAAATACCTGTATAAATTAACAACCTGTATATAAAATTAATGATAGAGTCTCTCGTTTGGATTGGACAGTAACAAGAAAAATCTTAGCTATTTTAAATCATACACTTTGATGTGCAAAAATCGGAATTAACTGTGCATTATATCGCATATACCTGATAATGTAATATTGATTCTTCGAAGGCCAACAAACATGCCAAGAGTTCCAGAAAATTGTTCCTCTGATCTGTAGATATACGTTGATTTGACATGCACCTCGCCGTACTGCCAACAATACCCTAACGAGGCCACTAAAACAGATAAAAATTATTATGTTTTCATTTCACTTTTCTTAATCTAGAATTAATTGTATTTTAATATCACTTTTCTTAATCAAAAATTGTTTTTATTTTAATAAAACTATCTGAACCTAGAAATACATATAGTTTTCACTTGATCATTAATGATTGAAGTGGTACAAGTTTGTGATATCTAAATCATGTTTTGTGAAGACCAAATGACAAGAATTTTTTCATTGACTTGACCCTATGTCAAATATTTTCAATAACTACTCGCACTTAAACATCTTGTCAAATCTATGCAGAAAACGTTTTTAATAAGTTTGCACCAAACACTGTTAACAAAATAGGATCTTTCAAATAGGAATTTGCTTGCATTAAAGAAAAAAGAAGTTTAACCTTTTAGCTTTAACTATCTGCATTGATGTGCTAACAAATAAACTTCCGGGAAATGCTAGCATTAAATCGTTGTAGGTGAGACATGAAATGGTTGTTTCCACGTTAATGTCTAATTTAAAGGACACTACACCTATTTCTTTCTTTTTATGACACCTTTTTGCAGAAAATGCATCATCGTTAATCACTTTAGACCATCTTGACAATAAATAATTAACAAATGTGTGGTATTAGTTTGTGATGAAGCTAACAAAAAAATGAACTTACAAATAATAGTTGTTCCAATGCCCAGACTAAATACAACTCGGATTAAGTTAATCCATCTCTGAAAAAAAATTAAGATATATTACTATATACAACTTCAATATTAATTTCAGCACCTGATGGAAAAAAAACAACATTATTTTGTTAATTGCTAAAGGAATGTATATCTTGCATGGCTACTTGCTTTGATATTCAGTATACAAGTATTTATGAGTGTACGTGTGAGAATTTCTATTATGTATTAAGACAGTAAAAGTAACTGTCCATATTGAACATAATACTCAGTCAATCGAATACAAAGATGCACTAATAGTCAGCCGACACGTGGGTTTTTATTACTGATTATTTCTTTCTGAGGTCACTTTAGTTCAGTTATTCTATAAATCTTTTGATATGGATACTATATATATTTAAAAAATAGAAAAAAAAATATTTAGATATACTTTTTCAACAAAAAACTATACTAAATAATTAATTCGTATGGAAAAAATGAATTGATCTTAATTAAAACCATTCGATTTCTGAAAAATCGATTTGCAATTTCTTTGGAGAAAAAAAATCATTCAAAGGTTAACGAGATAAAAAAAGAAAGAACATGAAAAATTGACACGAAACATACAAAAATCAGATTTATAAGGGAAATGTGAATTATCAATAAGGTCAGGTGGTTTCAAGCTAATCGGATTTTGTACGATTAATTGGAAAGATAACGCCTTGAAAAACTCGTTTGCTTTCTTAACTAAGCACGTTTAAGGTCATAATATCTTCAATAAATTTAGTGAGATAACCACAACTACAAACTATGATTTATCCATTGACAAATAAACTGATTTTTTGAAAAGAAAAATATGATGAATAACAGATCTGGCATGATAGTGGCGTATGACTGCCCTGCCGAAGTGATGAAATGTAGAATTAGAAGAAAGTGATGATGAAAGTGATGAAAATGATGAAAAGAACGTTGATAAAGATGAAACATTTGCCATTTTAGTAAGTGATGATGAAAATGATGATAGTGATGAAGATAATGAAAAGGACGTTGATGAAGATGAATCCTTGACCACTATCACATTTTCGCTGGATTAACACTTGTAAAAAGTACAAATACACGTACAACCTAGTCGTATCTGGGTACTTTAAGACAGTATTACGGCAGGGTTGTATGTGTGCTTGTCGGAATCAAGGTTCTTTTTGGGCTTATCTAATATCTGTGCTACATATTTATATTGGTTTTAGAATTGTTAGATTACAAGAGAATCAGTGTTAAAGATATTTTAGGATGCTAAAGTGATGGTCTTCTATTGAAATCTTGTTTGAACATGGTAAAACTGTGATGTTTTCTCTTTATGGGTTGTAGGTACAGGGCAGGAGTGACTCTTCCAACAAGTAACGAAACAAGAGAACGTATGTTTCGACAAAAACCAATGTTTCCGAAACACCATAGAGAGGGCTAAAAATACAAAATGGCGCGGCAAGACACTCGTACCGAACCAAGAGGTAATTAGCTCATTAAATTGCTGAATCAGAATTAATTCAAGTGAATCGTTCAACTATATCATCATTCGCCTTCAGAAGAAGCGAAAAGTGACATGTTCCACTTAAATGGAGACACGAAAAAATTTGCACGGTAACGCAAGATCAAACCAACCTAATTATGTTCCCCAAACGAAGTTGGGGAACATATTGTTTTTACTCTGTTTCTTATTATTATTATTATTTTTCTTCTTCCTGGGTACTTTTTTGTCCGGGAGTGATCTTGTAAACTACACATCCGACTTAGGTAAAACCTTTTTAGGGTCAGTAGGCATGTTATGTAGATTTGCGGAACGAAGGTCATTTTGCGCGCACGTGCTTGCAAGAGCGTGCACGTGCAACACGTGAAATGACCGATTTAATTGATATAGGCGTATCTTTTCCCATTTTTGATGAAATGCGTTGAAAATCATAATATAAGGATATATTAGTAGCACAGACAATATGACATGGTCAAAATAGCAAGATCTCACGCGCATGCACGTGCGCTTCGCTCTGATTGGCTGAAACTAAAGTCTCAATATCTTTCTTGTTTTTTGACGAAATCCCTTGAAATTTTGAACATAGCCATACATTAGGATATCCTACAACACGATATATAGCAATTATCATAAAAACACGTGCATGCACGTGCGCTGCAATCTGATTGGCCTAAACTTTAAATAGCTATAACTCCCTTGATTTTCAACCAAACAGGATGGGATTTGGAACATAGATAGATATAATGGACCTCTACAAGAAGGTATGGTCACCATGCACATGCATACACGTGCGTGTACGTGTGCTGCAATCTCATTGGCTGAAACTTTAAACAGCTATAACTCCCTTGGTTTTCAACCAAACGGGATGGGATTTAGAACATAGATAGATGTAATGGACTTCTACAAGAAGGTATGGTCACCATGCTCATGTATGCACGTGCGTGCACGTGAAATGAGTAAAATCAAAAATACACCTGAATGAGCTTATTTTTTAATACTTTTGGATTAAATACTTTATTATTTAGTATATTTAAATATATATAGATTGTGTAGACAAGATGATATGGTCATTACGCACATGCATTCACATGCGCACGCGTGCAATGCTAAAATTTGAAAACTTGGTACACTTCTGGGTTAACATTGTTAAAGTCTCAAATGCATAGAGTTTGTCTTATTTAATGAAGCTTACAGGGGATATGGCACCAAAAGGGAGTTGGGGAGCGTTTGGGGAACATCTGTAACGGTCCCCGTTACAATTAGCACTAGTTAAGTTTGTTGTCAGTTATGCAATTCTTATCGAGGTCCATCTTTGAGCCTACATAGCAATCCTACCTGTGTCCCCATAAAACGTCAAGTGTTTAACGACCGTTTAATTATTACAGGAAGTGATACAAATCATAACTGAACGGAAAACACCTTTGTTCATTTTAATATATGTTGTCTTTACGTATGTAATGTTTTTTTCAATAGATTGGGAAGGTCTGCTATGTCATATTGTAAACAACGTATAGATCAGAGGTTAGGAGGTGTATTATCTTATTAATACAGGGGAAAACACCTTTTCTTTAAGAGTAATTAAATTTCTTTTGTAACTTAAACACTCTGTCAGAATCAGAGATGAAAGATGATGCATGAGTAAATGACTTCTAAAAAGCTATGATAATTTTCATGCTGAAATTAATAACACTTACTTCTTTTCCACGAATTCCAAGAGCAACTATAATCGTTGCTACAGAAACCAGAACGCATGCATAAATAGCACTAACAAGTTGAATATCTATGGTAACCGGTGTCCTCTTTTGTCCATAGAAAGAAAATCCAAAGTCTCCTCGAAAAGCACTAAACCAAGTCATTCTGAAACATTAAAACAAGTCAATTAAAGCAAGAAACTTTTTTTTCCTTATTAAATATTGCTTGTCATAAAACAGAAACTAAGTATGGTCATATTTATGGTAGTTTTGTCAACCGAAAAGTTAACGGTAAAGTTAACGAGCTTGAATCATATAAGGCGAAGCTCTCAATGTCCTTACTGATAAACCTTGCTATTCCAAATGAATAAAAGAATAATAAAGATTCAAATCACCTTTCTTAGGTGATAATATTAAGTTATTGATTATAGAAACATAATCCACGAAAAGCAATCAAAAAGTATCCAAATTTTCTATAGTAATTTTTTTCAGGAAAGGAAAGACACATAGCTAATTTATAGTTCACCTTGATATGAAATATAAAGTATGAAAACAATGTAATGACAGAATATTCAGAAAATACATCTCATAGTTGGTGCTCTCCCTGAGAAAAGAAATATTTATATCTTAAATGGAAAACGATACCGTTTTGCTCTTCCATCGGTATCTAAATGCCGCAATGCAATGCTGTATACACAAAAAGTTTACAAACTCCGTTGACTATAGTACAAATAATAGCAAGTATGGTTAGAAATAAAGTTATTTACCTTCAACAGGACGTTGTTCCTTTAATTCCTTTTCCACGTTGATGGTTCTGAAAGTCGAAATAATATACATTGTAGGTTAATTTTAATTCAAAGAAAAAAACTGGGTTATATTTTTAGCTCTTGACAGTCCTACGCTGTGTCACTTAAGCGCTCACATTATAATGATCTCCTATTCGTCACAACGGAGAAAGTATAACAAAAATATAAGCCATGTCTGTAAATATAAAACAATAATGAATCGCTAGAGCGTGGTGCATACACGTGTATTTTTGATCCATTCATCACAAGATTAAAAGCTCAGACGAACCCAGGTTATATTGAAATGTTTATGGAAAATTCTCCAATTAATGAAAAAGTTTGTCATGAAGAAGTTTGATAAGCCTCCTACAAAAATTTTCTATTTACAGACATGCAAATATTTCCAGCGTTATGTCATAACAGTCTGAAACCGGCGAGAGAAAAGTGCATAAAATATCATAACTCAGTTGTTCATTATGCAGTATATCTGCATAATCAAATAAATGTTAAAGTGAAACATAGCATTATTATTAAACAAGAATAATTTTTGGAAAAAATATATGTAATTTTCTCATTGCAAGTTACAAAAATAAAAACTAAAATTTTTGCAAATATTTAAAATAATTTTTTTTTACTAAAAATTAAAGAAGCAAATATTTATTTGCACTGACCATAAAACAAGATCTCCGTTGACTCCACAATTTTATATAGGGAGCATGTAATAACAAAACCCCAATGTAATCAGATAGATTTCAACTTCCTAACATCAATGTGTAGATCTTAAAACTGTCAATCTTTTGACAATCAGCGCTCAGCGGTTAATGAGTGTTGCCCGACGCTCTGATTACGTTTTATAATGCTCTCAGACACCGCGAATGATTAACATACATTGAAAATAAATAAATATGAATGTCCCGGGAAAATGGAATTTCTGCTGTCATATATTTATATTTCTCTCTCTTGTTACGTTACGGTATTCCAGTGTGCATTAGCATGAAGGTTCCTCCTACTTTGGTAAGGATGAAAGGTTAACTATTTTACTTAATACAAGTACTTGTGATAACAGTGAGATACGGGTTAGTCATTGTATGAAAGAAATTACTTCAAAAGTAATTCTGAATGTGCAAAACATAAATAAACACAATGCAATTTTCATTTTATCCAGACTAAAAAATATTTTTTGTTTTTTCATCACTTGTTACGCTTGCATGTAACATATGACAATTATGATTCAATTCTTTGAAGATTTTTGCAAATAAAGACGTTCTGCTGTAAAAAAGGTAAATTGAAGTATCAAAATTCAAGTTTTTAAAGCTACTGTCGTTTTACGCACATTTTTCTAATTATGTTTAATTTTAAAAACTCATCTGAGAAAATTGTAACTGTGTCTTTTTCTTTTCTTTTGCATTGTATCCTTTTCTAATTATTGCTTCTTGAATTCTGAAAATATCTTAGAAAATAAATAAGAATTGCAATTTTCATTTCTATATCTATTCACCAATAATGGAAAATCGGGGTTTAGATATTCTTAACAGCAAATTTCCTATGAACTATCTGCGGATTAGGATGTTCCCGTATGCACTCACTCTGTTCAAATACAGATATAGTTATCTGCACAATTCAATCAAAACAGCATGAACATAACATAACTCCTATACTGTTTACTACTATGACATTACAAGTGGGTCCAAAAATGGACTTTTCGGTGGTATGTGAAGTGGATTTACTTGACAAGGAAGTTCAAAGTACTAATAAACATTTCTTGTCGTGAAGTCATTTGCCGACCTTGCAAAAGTGCATAGCAATAATCCATGTGCAATTTTAATTGTCTGTTGCTATTTGATGTTATGATGTTTGTGTTAAGGTTAGTTGATAATCTTAACTACATAGAAAGGCAGTTATATCAGAGGTTAATATTAAGTACCAAAATGAGAGAAATTCGAGGAAAAGAATTTTTAAGTTGTATTTATGGTCCCGTCTATACCTAAAAGAATAAATACGTTATTTCGTTTTCTGACAATGCATGTAGCTTTGCAACATGTATTGAGAAATAAAACACTGTATAATAAACTATAAAGAACATTTCTAATTGCATTATAATACACTAAAGTTTTCCCTATCAATCGACTGTCTTTTCTTTCTTTTTTTTTAAGTATTTCTTACCCTTTAATGCGCTCTTAATTAAGAGGTGATGAATTGCAACAGATACTTACTAAATCTTAAAACAAGGAAAACTATTCCAACTATGTGTTTCAGTGCAAAAACCGAATTCTGTGCCTTTTGATGAATATGAATGTATCCAGATTCTACCCTGGAAATGCGGATGTCCGTACCGATAGGACTTTTCGTCTATGAGCCACATCAAATGAGAACTAACTAGGTAAATATTTAATGTACTTCAATGGACAGTTTACCGAGTAACTGACCACAGGGCCCCGTCTTCATGACGTATATGTTATATATATATAGTAACTAGAAATGAACTTCGAACAGACCACGTGGCTAAATTCTGTCAATAAAATTAATTGCATAAATTGCATAAATAATTGAAGTCATTCGGTTTAACAGGGATTTCTTCCGAGGTAGGGAAACATTCCCCTAAAAAGCACAGAGATTTCGTGACGTAATTAAAGCCATACCTTACCCATGGCCCTACTTCCCAAAAGAACTTCATATCCATATGTTTATTTACTCCAAATTGATTTTTTGATATTAAAGACTTAACATCTGTCTCTGACGAATAAAAGACTATGGAACTTGTCAATAACTGACGTATCCTTAAGATAAAAATTATTACGAGTTTTAATAAAAAAAACATAAAGCCTACACACACTTTTCTTTGCTGATCAATCGAAAATTTCCATTGTAAGCAAAAATTTAAACAAATGTATGAACATACTTACATGCTTGTCAAAATTTAATATCACATTTATTACAACAAAGAAAGTGCTTAAATGTTAAAAGAGAAAAAAAATGTTAAAGTGTATCTTGAACGTTAATTGTAACGGATGTCCTCAAGTGCAAATTGAATCATTTTCTGTTATGTTTACTTTGTTTGATAATCTTAATCGTGTATATGAGATGTCAACATTCCATCCCAAGAACCCGTATCCCATGTCAGGGAAATGCACTGAGCGCAGACTAAGCACAGAGATGAAATTAATCGTCTTCCATCCCCGGCTTACTTAACCGGAAGCAGGACTTCGCACCTTGGTTATTGATCCAACTGCAACAGTTTACTGAAAAAAATCTCGACTTTAAAGAAACAGGAGGTATGTCATACTGTTTTTACTAACATGGAAGACGATAAAAGAATCTGTCAAGATTTTCATTTTTTTCAAATTCTAGTACGCATCAAACGGGATGTTCTCATGTTGATACGTACAAAATGTTCTGAATTTGTTGCCGTATAGCTTCGGTCACAATTTTGAATTTTCAATAACACAATGTATTACTTTTACATGTTTTCCAGCACAGCGAGTTATACATTTGAATAAGAGCTTTCCTTAATGTTGAAAACGTTTCTTTTATTATTCGTACTATAACCTTTCAAGAATCAGCTTTAATTATTATTCACAATTAACCTTTATTGTATCTATAACAAACCCAACCTCTTTTGGGTGTAAAATATAGATAGGACGGAGAGAAATATTCTCATAATAAATGATTATAGATTTGTTTTCTTTGTTTTACTTTGGTCTAACGTCGAATTTATATCTCGACTTTGGAAATCCTATTGCAATGGAACTACATGCATTTAATTTTTCTGATTAAAAACTTATTTCTAGTCTTCCCAACCAACTGTATTTTACATACTTTTTCTCCTAAATACCATAGTCTTTTAGAAATCGAGAAAACTCTTTTCATTTTTATAGTACTACATGCATAGAACCATGTAAAATGTACATCGATTCCAGTCATAAGACTTTAATCGTGACTTAATGCAGACATATTACGTAATGATTTACTTCAAATTTGAAGACTGAAGGTTGAATACTTTCCCAATTTTTAACACTAGACTGAAATGGAAATATATCACGATACGAGCACGTGTTTACTGGCGCGAATTGATTTAAAAATGAATAAAGTTTGTAGAAACGAAAAGTGTCGGGGGATTAAAGACCTGCCGAATTTTGAAGGTCTATTATCACCTTGCACTATTTACCGATACATTAACGACAGAGAATGAAACCGATTAAGACAACGATTACGAGAGATCAAGGAAATGGGGTCAAACCAGGAGGTGGAAGTCCCAACTTTTCCCTCCTCGGTTCATCACAAAATAAAGTACATTTGCATCTTTAGTTTATACTTGGAGAAAATATTTTTTTAACGATTTCGTCAATATATTACTTTTACAGGGTGTTAAAGTAAAAAAACAGTAGCAATGTGGAGATTGATAATTTTCTGAAGAATTTTGAATATGTTTTGTTCAATTTTCATAATTTTTTTTTTAATTTCCATGATAATAGTGAAATTTTATAAATTTTACACCTCAACAACCGGAAGAGACATTTAAATTCAATATTACAAATTATAGCAGTTTAAAATAACTTAAGAAAAATCAAATAAAAAAATCCTCTTCATATCTCATGAGAGAATTTTTTGTTTTAATTGATGAAAGGAATAATCCTTTTGATGGTTAAAAAATCGGCTGGACACTGTCCAAAAAAAAAAAAATTTTAAACTCATATAAAACATTTTCTTTTTATTCTATAACTCTGATTTTGTATTCTTTTTTTTCTCTGCATTACCACAATGAAAGATATTATGTCATGAAATGCAAAACAACATATGGATAGATCTAACTTATTTATATTTAAAAAATGAGAGCTCACCTTAGAATCTTGATTTTTTAAAACTAAATAAAAACAAAAGATGTAAGCTCTGTTACAACGCACTTTGAAAAATTACGCACTTTGAAAAATTTTTTCAAAGTGCGTTAATTTTTGGGACCAGGTTAACGCACTTTGAAAAAATTTTTCAAAGTGCGTTGAATTTGGGACCAAATCAACGCACTTTGAAAAAATTTTTCAAAGTGCGTTAAGACTGTACATCATAATTTTACACCATGTTAACATTTAACGCACTTTGAAAAAATTTTCATGAAACAAAAGGAATTAGACTTATATTTTAGAAATAGACAACAGTATTACCCCCTCGCAACGTATGATGGGATATAGTGATGCGATTATGTGTGTTATTACTTTATGTGTATGTTATTTTTTTCTGTGTGGAATTGATGTAATTTGTATCGCGATCGATGTCAAATGCTGCCTTGATTTACTGAACATGCTTTTTGGGAAGGAATGCTCCGCTTTGCGGTGCCCTTACTTTGATGTGTTTCTTTCTAAAAACTGATGGATTGAAGAAAACCTAGAAACGGACAACGAAGAAAAGACTGGCTGAATTATGGTCTATCAGCTCAACTCTTTATCATTCCCACCCAGATGTATCTATTTCTATAACTCGTAAACTTAAGTGTCAATGATATTTGAAAAAAAGAGCATTCTAAATACAATATAAGCACTGTACAAGGAAGTCTGTAGTAAATCGAAATTTTGTTCTTTTAAATCTCAAAGTCTGTTTATGTTCATTTTCAGGAAAATCAGAATATTAATTACATTAATTACATTTAATTATATTAAGTACCTGTCTGCTTTTCGATGTTAATTTGATACCACATCTGATAATCTCTCTGTTAACCTCCAGGTATTTAACTTACATGATATTTTCATAGGAATTGTTCATTTAACATTTAACATGTATCTAATATCTTTTCTCATGTTTTACGCAAATAAATAAAGCATATATATTAAATTAATAAAATACAATTATTAAGTTTTAAATAGATTTAAAATTGGTGAAAATAAGCATTTTTTTTTTCGTTTTTTGTCTATAAACATATGCCCCCCCCCCCGTGAAACACGAAAAGCTTTGGCATAAATTTGTAAAATAACAGTCCATATTATCTGTAAAAAGGAATTTTTGTTTCACGGGGGGGGGGGGGGGGGGGGGAGTTGTTTAAAAATATTTTCAGTTTTCCGTTGATTTCTATAGTGGAAAACACAAGTTTTGCCAAAATTATAGAGTTATCTCTCTTTGGTATCCCAAATAAGTAAGGTTTTATGAAAATTCATATAAATATGTATAAAAATTTTGAGAATCATTCCAAGATGTTAACTTTTGAGAATTGACTTATAGATAGGCGGAAGAATAATACTATCGTTCGTAGCTCTTTACGACCTTGAATGTTGACCTTTTGACCCCAAATTCAAAAGGGGTCTTCCTAAGGCCACAGGGATTCCGTTATGTTAAATTTCATTGCAAAAGCTCAAAGGGTTGTCGAGATATCGTGTGGAAACTAAAGCGTTACAGAAAGACGGATGGACAGACAGATAGACGGACGGACGGACAGGTAGACCCAAATTAATACCCCCCACTTTTCAAGCGGGGGACAAAAAGTATCAAATCAGATTCAAATGATGTTATCATACTTAAGATTTGTAGGAATATTGACTAAGCCATGCAGAATTTTTTTTCAAAGTGCGTTAATATGGTCCATATTAACGCACTTTGAAAAAAAATAATTTTTTTTCAAAGTGCGTTAACCTGGTCCCAAAAATTAACGCACTTTGAAAAATTTTTTCAAAGTGCGTAATTTTTTCAAAGTGCGTTGCCACAAAGCTCTTTAATATGTTAAAAAAATAAATCAATGACCAATCGAAATTGTGGTCTTTTAGGTAACGTAAACAAGTAAATTCCGATAAAAACGTTCGGTCTATTTCCAGAAAGCAATCCTTTTGATATGGACATCTTTCCTATATCCTTTGTACAAGTTCTAAGAAGGTATAAAATCATGAATTAGGGCAGTTTGACATTGAAAACAACAAATCAATACAGGCTCATGATGTCTCGAGTTTGATTGATTGAATACAAGGATTTAAAACAAGACATGTTTGGCAATAAAATGCAAAAATAGATTTTTTTTCTTCTTTTTGAAACTTTATATTTAAAAAAGAACATGATAACAAAAGCAAAACAGAAAATTTCCAGTATTTTTGAGAAAAAATAGGATATTTGTGGAGGAAGAAAGTGTTTCTTTTTTTCAAAAAAAAAAAAGGTTAATTAAAAATTTGGAAATGTAGGAAAAACCATTTAAGTCTATGACTATGAGATTTGATTTATTATTGAATAATCGAAGATGAAAAGATTAACTACGACTTTGATAAGGGCGGAGCTTCCTACAAACATATTTTCAAATCATTACGTTATTCATCGTTCATTTTCGCTCTTAAAAATTTGACAAAAAACAAAAGTTTCTAGTTATTATTGGCATAATATTTTGATAACTTGTAATTTATATTCTTTTCAGAAATGTTTTTTTTTTTTCGAGCAAAATAAAGTAGTTGTACATTGAAGCAAATCTCTTTCTTGTTAAATCAGAACTAGAAGAACAATAAATGAAATCATGCTAACTCCTCCATGAAACCTTATCCGAAATCTGATGTTTAAGAGGTCTGTGTTTGCTCTACTCCCGTTTAGTTATAGTTTAAATGGGATTTGAGATTGAAAACTGTTCGTTATCTCCATATATTTCATTATTGTGCATGCATGGGATACCAGCCATATAAAGACTAACTTTCTGAAATAATGGAAGCTACTGACAAATAAACCCAGGAAACAAGGATATCAATAGTCTCAATTAAAGGCAACCAGTCGCAAATTCTATGGTCAGGAAATGCAATTTATCATCAAGTTGAATATTAACTGATGGTTCTCAAACACATTTTTAGGCCATTATTTTCATACTGTATTATCTATGAAATTTCCCGTTTATCTGATCGTGACAAGAAACACATGGCGGTTGTGACCGGTCGACAGGGGAGCTCACTCTTCCATGGCACCTAATCCCAACTGCGTTATAGGTTCGTGTCTGTGTATATCCTTGACTACAATCTTATTTCAAAGCTATAAAACAGAAATGGAATAATGATAAAAAAAAATCATTAGATTGAATCTTTCAACAAAAAATTTAGTTCCTGATCCAATGTTAAAGTGCCTTAAAAGAAATACCAGAAAAGTTACATCAGCTTTATCAGCTAAAAGTCTTCCTTGATGTGAAATTGCATATATTGATATACTTTCACTTTTATTTACTCTCGGTTCTCAAGAACCTGCATATCGACAGTGTCGGGTTTAAATGACAAACCGCAACATAGTGAAAATGGAAAACAATTTTTTTGACCAATGACACATGCCAAATTACTGC